AGAGAGAGAGAGAGAGAGAGAGAGAGAGAGACAATATAAACACTACAGGCAATGCGCTCAGACTCAATTTTGAAATACGAAATGTCTTTCTCTTTCTTTTGTTCCTTTGTCTGCCTGTTTGCTTTACTTTCTTTAAAGCTGCATAAACGTTGCCATGTCGCTCTGCTTCTCTGTCTCTCCAAATGTACCACACTTGTTAAGTTTAGAATGAAAACTGAGAAAACTGAGATGGCTGACAAATTGATGAAAACAAGATGAACTGATCTTCTTCTTAGCTTTTCCATCAAATTGATGTTATTTCTCAACCCTTCTTGCAACAAAACACCCTGTCTACGCCCTTCTGCCTGCTTCAATTGTTTTGCTTCCAGGCCAGAATTCTATGTAGTGATCCCATCTCTGTTAGATCGGTCTCCCCCTTCTTCTCATGCCTTCAACCTTTGCTTCCAGAATCGGTTTCTTGGCTGAATCATGACAATAAACTGACATGTTAATCAAAGCAAGCTAACCTTTCACCAAGTTTGTCTGATCTGAGATGCCTAGAGCCTTGAAGCCAGGAATAAGTTTCATGAACACAACCGTCTGGCGAGTATGTTCTTCCATCTGAGCGCCGCATTCATCACTCTCCCTCAGGAACCCATCGACGTCGAGACCTGTGGCCTTGTAGAACTCCATGGCCTCGCTTCTCGACAGTTGCCCACGGGGACCAAAAATTTCCTCTTGCAAGACACAGCGCTCCTGTGATGATACAGAGTATGGCGTTAATATTTAAAAAAAGTTTTAGTAGAGGTTTTACGGCGCTCGCAACTGCATAAGGTCATATAAGCTCCAAATGGCGTTAATATACATACATAATATACATAATTTCATACATATGCGCACACATGTATAATTATTCCCATTATATTATATAGAATTTTATATTTTGTATTAAATGAACGAAAACCTTTTTATGAGGGCAGGGCCTCCGGATTTGACTTCTAAAAAGCTACTTTCATCTATCAACAGCTGCTAAGAAAAATCCAAAAACGTCATTAGCCTGACACCATAAGAAATGAACAACTATGGGGGTAAACAAATCAACTGAAAATAGACGAAGAAATGAGAAAGAAAAAATGAATGTGAATCGGACACATTTTGAGAAAATTGAGAACGAACATTAACCACCGAGTTGCAGAAGACTCCACAGTAAAATAGAAAGAAAAAAAAACGATTAAAAGAACTTTGATCAGGGACTTCGATTCGGACCTAAAAGAGATGGGACGCAGCTGGACAAAGGTGAAGACAAAAGGCTGGACTAAAGTGCATGGATAACTTTTTTTGGCAGCCTATACTCCAGCAGGGAGTGAGAAAGGATGATGATGATGATGACGAGATCCGAAGGTGACGTCCAAGTCCGATAGGACCGAGTCAAATATAACAGTTTCGTATACAGAATTGAACCTAAAACCCCCGATCCCGAAATCTCAGGATTATGAGTCCGGTAACCTAACCACTGGATTACTATCTGGAGCTGCGACCAAAATGTCCGATGTCCAACATGCTCTAACGGGCACCTGTTTAAGACATTTACCTGTACAAACAGCCTCTTTCCATTTAGTCTCTCCCTTGCGTTTCGTTTAAATTATAATGACACTGCGTAAGAAGGCCATTTGTCTAATACAAACCCATTTCTCCTCCATGATGGGTGACTGTTTAAGGCAATTTCGACCTTACGACTCGTTTTTTTTATCATATGTGAGGCATCGTGTTGAAATCAGGCGCTCGTCAAAACAGTAAATCGAAGATGTGGGCATTCATTTTTCTTGTTGTTTGGCTCAACACCTTTACTGTCCATTTACAACACATTTCTATGTGGATTTTACCTTAAAACGGTGATAAAAGGCACAGACAATAATAAATGTTCAGTTTCCGAGGACTCTCAAGCTATGGAAGTCCCCAAGCTTTGGCGGCCATTTTCTTGCTAATTTTACCTCTGAGACCAGGTGACCCCCACCTCCTTCAGTCGTAAATATCTCGACTTTTATTCAAGACAGATGGGTATTTTTTCTCATCGAAAGCAAGACAATAGAACAAGCTGTAAGATGATACCGATAATCCATATACCCAAACACAGACGAGCGCCTGACTCGACCGCGTTGTGACACATAATATGGTATTTTCTCTTACCGCGCATTCCTTGAATTTCTCCTCCAAATATTCATCTGACAGGCCATTACAATCAATAATGATCCGTCTGTGCCCAGCCACCAGGTAATTTATCAGCTCATCCAGCTCGCCCTCCTCATAGTCCAACCACTGTGGTCCTTCCAGAGAGATGGAGTCCAGAGAACACGAAGAAGACATCGAAGATTGGGAAGATTCCAAGGACTGATGAGAGAATGTGAACAATTGGTCTCGGGAATCCGACGGCCCTTTACCTCCGTTGTTCATATGAGATGTTTCACAAAACATGTGCTCGTCATCAAGCCCATTGAATCTCGAGTGCTTTTGAGGCACATCATGAACATCGTCGTTAAATGAATCTTTTTCATGACCCCTGTAATGGTCATTGAAATTGTTTATGCTTTGGAATTTTGAAAACGTGCTTTCCGTATGATGGAAAGACACTTTTCCATGAACATTGAAAGAGTTCCGAAAATTGTTCATGCTTGGGGATCTTGAGGAAACGCTGTTTATAGTATTTCCACTATACAGTTTAGAAGTGTTTCTTGAAGCCTCACCAAAGCCCCCGCTCGTACTGAGTTTGTGATTATCGTTCACGGAAAAGGGTGACAGCACAAAAAAGGATTCTGGCGAATGGAAATCTATAGACTTCGAACTTATCTCTCCATGTGTAACCTGCTTCCTTCCACAAGAAGCACTCGAAGAGGCGTTCAACATGTTCTCAAAATGACTGCTACCTACATCTGAGCCGAAAGTTGTTTGTGCATCTGTAGAAGAAATATGTCGGGAAAACGTCGGTGAATCATGTTCTGTTGACGAGGTACTCTGTGTTGAAGATGAGGACGGGTTGTGAAATATTGAAAGGTCTAAGGCAGCACACGAATTGTCTGACGTTTCCTCTGACTGCCTCCTTTCTATACCGACGCCATTGTCAGCAGCTTCCTTAAGTCTCTTTATCTCCAGCGTGTCCTGTGTCCTCTTGTCCAGCGTGTAGCGTCCGGTCTTGATAGCTGATAACAAAACAAAAACAACCAGACTTAACTGCACGCCTACAATTATGTGTGAAAAGGGTCAGAAAAATAAAGGTCTAAGTCACATTTTGTTACAAATTGAGGTCTTGGCATGGCGACACACGTCAAGGGAGACAACACAACATAAAATTTGAATGGAACGATTGGATTATTGTTTTGTCTTTCTTAATCAGAGTTATGCCCTTTACAAATTCCTCAAAATTGGAATATCAACATGTTTAAGTCAAGCTTTTTTAAAAAAATAGTTTTGTTCTCGAAAGAGCCTAAAAGTGACTTAGACTCTATTTCTTAAACCTCTTCAATTATTGGTTAAGAATGCTATGCTAGAAACCCCGGGAATAGGAGCTGGTATTTCGTCTTCAACCAACGTCCACTTTTGAATATTTAATTAAAATGCGATGAACTAAAAAACATTGGTTGGGAAAAGGTGAGGGATAAGTCTGTGTGTGTTAAAAGGGGTGGGGGTGGGGTAGGTTTACTTGATTGAAACCAAGGTTTTATACATTTGTGTAACCACTTCAAAGACTGCACGATGTAAGAAGAAAATATTACATCTACGCAGGGTTTTTTTCAAATCTCATACAAATTAAAGACGTGTAAAGATAGTTAAGCCAAAAAAACACAAAAAAACGTTTTTTGGAGGATAAAAGACGTAATATGGTTCGGAGCTTTTTATGCTAAAAAAGCTAGGATATTCATGTTCATATCAAAACATAGCCAGATCAAAGAAGCCAACACCAAAAAACGGCATGACTACCTCCTTTAGACATGCCGGCAGAAAGACATTTCAAGTATCGGCACTTGGGGCAACTTTTCCGCCGGTTCGTCTCAATATCACAGTCGCCATTCCCAGGGCAGTCGTAGTCACCATTGCGTAGTAAACTGCGGCGGAAGAAACCCTGAAAGTTTGGAAAATGAATAGAATTTACAATAAACTTCCACGTTTATTGATCATCTTGAGGAAATTTGGTTTGCGATGTGAACAGACATGCCGACGGCTGAGCGCAAGAAGTGACTGTATCCCCTTTTGGTTGAAATGGAGTAATCGGTATGTGTTTGTGAGATTTATTTAAGTTGCTCCTTTACCTTTGTTTATGCTTAAGCCGTAGCTTAATTCGGTACTGAGATGCTAACGTTCCTTTTTTAAACTATGTTATAAAGATTTCAATATCGTCAACATTTCAAGCTAGTTTTTTCTCGAAATTGTGAAAAGTGGATAGACACTTTTTGCGCTCAGCCGGACCTACATACACAATTAATACGTAATATGTACATGTACAAACAGTAAATCATCAACGTAACATCTGACACAATATCGCACAAATAAAAGCAATCTTATGCCTAGGCCATTGCCGGTCGCCATAGTGCACCGCTGTATCTTGGGTAAAGGTTACTATGTCTAGCCCAAATACGCACCTAAGTAACAGCTGTTTAAAACTGGAACTCAACAAAGTGGGTAGGTATCCTAACTTGATGCAATCCTGTTCCCCACCAGTATTATAACATATCCACGTGTACACAAGCACACACAGGCACACACACACACACACACACACACACACACACACAGGTACATACACACACACACACACACACACACACACATACACACACAAACACACACACACACACGTAGGTGTGTATATATAATATATGTGTTTGTGTGTGTATAGGTGTGAGTGTTTGTTTGGTGTGTGTGTGTGTGTGTGTGTGTGTGTGTGTGTGTGTGTGTGTGTGTGTGAGAGAGAGGGAGAGAGAGAGAGAGAGAGAGAGTATAAATTCACAATGTTGTAGATAATGGAAATACAACTGCGTGATATTTACATTACTGGAAGCTATATACACACACATAGACATACACACATCTTTTAAACTCACACACACACACACACACACACACACACACACACACACACACACACACACACACACACACACACAGACACACACACACACACACATAAACATACATATAAACATTCATATCAACACACATACTCTCATATACATACCCAAAGAGGCTGTCTGAAAATGATAATCAATTGCATAGCAAGTTTAGAACTCCCCTTCCTTGTAAAAGGAAAAATAAAGATATATGCAGCTGCTTCGTCGTAGCTGGTTTCTGTCCTTAAAAACGTCAATGATTCCTTTTGTTCAGCGGTAAGAAAGTTCCCATAAAATGAAATGGTTTTAATGAGCTATGTGATAGATAGGCATAAATAGATCGTAAAGTATAGAACCAGGTAAGAAATGCCATCTTCTTGGATATAATACACATTAAAGCTAGGATATCTAGGAAATGTAGTGCTATTTCTCCTAAGGAAATATGAGAGTGCTATTTTGGGGGGAAGAAAAGTAATGATTTGTTCGTCTACGAAGAGTCGTCATGGTTCTATGGTACGCTTAACAGATCATTTTGAGCATATATAAGTCAGTCAAGTCAGCTAAATTGTACTTTTTATTTGGCAGATTCAGAGACGATGAAAACAGAGTACTTGTAGTCGTAGCTGTATAGGTTCAGCGCTCCTTTCAACACTGTAACATTACTTGAGATGTGGGACCTCTGAATTCAACGTCCATCGCCAATAGGACATTGTCAAGTGGGTGGAGAGCCTTGAAAACTCCCTAAACAACCAAGGCTTATTACAACCGCAGCGTCGCTGATTCGAACAGGGGCCATCCGCCCCACAGTCCAGCATGACATCAACTGATAAAACTGCGCGCCCGTATAAGCCGAGTCAGACAGTCGACTTACAAAAAAGTTTTTATTCTTATAAATTATAACGTTATCTTTCCTCTTGGGTTCACGCACCTTGCATGCCTCACAAGTGTTGACACCATAGTGGAAGCCTGCCCCTGGCTCCCCGCACACCTTGCATGGAGGTAGAGGTCCGGCAACCTTTGGGGCTACTCGTTGTCTGAAATAAAGGGGCACAAACAATTTGTGAGGAATCGTGCTGAAATTAGGCACTTGTCAAAATAATGAAAGCGTCAGTTTGTCAGTTTTCATCAGGGTTTGTTTTTTTGTTTCGTTTTTTTGTTTTTCTCAACACCTTTTATGTCCATATAAAAACACATTTCCAGGGGAATTTTATTGGAAAGTGTTGATTTCAGACAGAAAATAATATGTAAATTATCAGTTTTCAAGGACTCTCGAGCTATTGGAGTTACCAAACTTTGGCGATCATTTTCTCGCGAATTTTACCTCTGAAACCAGACGACCACCACCAACCTCCTTCAATACTATACTTTTTTTAAAGATAAAAAGCAGGGGTTTTTTTATAATCGAAAGCAAGGCTCACGAATACGCTTTCACAGACGATACCAATAACTCCACGTGCCCAAAAATTGACGAGTACCTAATTCCAAAGCGTGGTGACACATTTAATAAGTTTACTACAAGAGATGAGCTGTTTTTTTAAGTGACACTCAGATGTAATCTTTGGGGAAACTAATGTGCGGTCTTCGGGCTGCGGGCTCGATCTCGGTTCCCTTGAGTAGAGTACAGAGGAGTTGCGAAAGGTAGCCTATTTACTTGTCTCCTTTTGTCTTCCTTATTCCATCACACCATCACACGGTGAACGGTTTCATGGTAGACAGAAACGTGCTTAGGACACATTATTTTGGGTGTCTGACAAACAGCCACGCAGTGTATTCACCACCACCTCATCAACCCCCCATAATAATAACTGCTAAGTGTTTTACGGCGCTCGCAACTGCAGAAGGTCATATGAGTGCGCGGGACACATTAAACAGTTTCAGTAGGTAGGATAATTTGAACTTTGCCCGGGTGGAAACCGAAGCCTCTCTTGTTAATTTTAAATCGCCAAGGGGTCTTAACGTGCGCAACTTGCACACGGGACCTCTGTGATTTTTCGCTGTTATCCGAGAAGGCTAGGTGTGAGATCTTACCTACCTTAAAATCAGGGGTGTGGCTGAAAGACAGCTCAGTCAGAAGCAGCCAAGGAGTAGCAATAGAGAGGCTGCAGAGTCAGGAGCCCAAAAGAGGGGGCAAAGGAGGTGATGGGGCGGGGGCAGAAAGTGAAGACGAAAATAGACAACAGAACATTGTTAGAGAGCAGGAAAGGAGGTGAAAGGAGAAAATTGTAGAGTACAAAATTTTCCGTCTCTGTCTGGATTCGAACCCGGGACCTATTGAATGAGAGGCGAAGACTGTAACCTCTCGACCACGAGAGACCCCTCAACCAAAATGTAAAAAAAGACACGTTAGAAGGGAGTGATTAAGAAGCCGAAAAGACTATGATTAGAAGGGCAAAAGACTATCGCACTGTCTCTTCCAGTCGATGACAATTTAAATAACAGACTTGGTAAAGAGAGAGAGAGAGGGGGGGGAGAGAGAGGGAGAGAGAAGGAGAGAGAGAGAGATCAGAGAGTGAGAGAGCGAGAGAGAGAGGGGGGAGAGAGAGATAGAGAGAAAGAGAAAAATCAGAGAGACAGACAGAGAGAGAGAGAGAGAGAGAGAGAGAGAGAGAGTGAGTGAGAAAGAGTGAAAAAGAGAGAGAAATCAGAGAGAGAGAGAGAGAGAGAGAGAGAGAGAGAGAGAGAGAGAGAGAGAAAGAGAGAGAGAGAAACCTAAAACAACACTGGCTTACTTTTGCGGAACTGTCTTTGTAGCTTGTGTGTTCTTCACGTCCACTGACGACGTGTTGCCATCTCCCGCCAAAAGAGACGCGAGTTCAGGGCTGTTGGCTGCGCCCGCTGCTGTGTCCCATGACTGTGATGAGGTTGACCACTGAGACTCTGATAACCCCGCTTGTGTTGAGGAAGACGAAGGTGGTGATCGTTCCGACGACGTATCATGATGCGGTGACAATGACACTGATGGTAATAGGATTGTCTTAGTTGGAGACGAAGTCGGGTTTGAGCCAAGACATGATTGCCCATCCGTGACAGAATTTCCTGATTCAGAGGACGTCGTTTTGTTTGAAATATCCAAAGCGCACGTCGCCGGATAAGTAGACAATGTCTCGCTACTCTCGCTACCATTGTTCCCAGGGGTTCCTGTGTCCAGAAGACTCAATTGCTGAAGCTTTCGGACTTCCATTGTGTCCTGGGTTCTTTTCTTGTGTGTATAACGGCCTGTCTTGATGGCTGTAGAAATTACGGTCAGAAAAAAAAGACGACATATGGTCAATTAGATCAGGAAAACTCGTACAATATTTATTTGAAAAATATAATGTTAATGGTTCTTCCTTCGATGTCTTTTGAAGTTTTTATACTCAGCACAGTCTTTTTCTTTTCTTTTTTTTTTTTTGCTCTGTTGTTGTTGTTGAGTTTCTTATTTGTTTGTTTGTTCGTTTGTTTATTGTTGGGGGTTTGTTTGTCTTTTCTTGGGGGGAGGGGGGGTCACAAATGGCTTTCGAAGAATATCGAAAGTTCGCAGTTTTTGTCGGAGAGGGTTCCTGGCTTTCTAGGGAGCTCTGTATCAGTGACACATTGTTCTTTCGAGGGTTACTGTTAACTCAAAAGATACTCAAAAAGAAAAGTGCTGGAAGAAAAAAGACTACATCTATTACGTCAGAATTAAATTATTTGTTTTCGATTTATGCAAAGCCCCCTATTTTGAAAACTGCAGGAAAAGAGCCAAATCAAGGATTCTGGACACAGAAGAGACAAATTTGGCTTTCTACGCTAAGATCAACTGGGAGTCCAGCCAATCCAGGCTGAGAGGGATACAACATCCAAACACAAAGACAAAGATATTCTCCCCATGCGTGAATCTAACAAGATGCCCAAAGGCTACTTCCCGGAAGCCTGTAATATTTCTGATTTAAAAAAAGGTGAATCAGGTCTCCAATTAACGCTGTTGCGGTGGGTAACTTTGTACATGTTTTTAAAATATATAATTTTTTTT